TTGGTGTCCGTAATGTTTTGGTTGGGCTATTGTTTCAGACAACGGACGGGCACTGAGAGCGCCGACACCGACAGCCAGGAGTACGCCGTTGTGGGTAAGGGTGTGAAGGATATGGAGAGCGAGACCTCGTCGATGACCCGCAGGAATGGCTACAAAGTGTTTGGTATGATATTCTGTCTCCTTTTGGCTGTCGTTCCCTTTGGGTTGGCATTCATGTCACGCATCGATAGTTGCAATAAAATGTTTAATGAGTTGTATTATGCCATCTATTAAGGTATGGTAGTTGTGAGGGAAGGGATGCGAATTCAATTTTAATGAGGTGTGGGGTTTGTTTATATTTTTGCTATCAATTTGTATTTTCTACATTATTTTTAGTAATTTGACAAATATTATTTTTAATCTTTTTTAAATACACACAAATAAAAAAATTTATAAGAAAATATTATTACTATCGTATACATGGTTTTTAAAAGTTGCTAGTTTTTATATATAATAAATATTGTTATTCTGTTCAAAATTAGACACAAGTAGTTTATATAAAAATTATATGGGAAAAAATATAAATTAGAAATATCATATATATTTGATAATACTTTTTCTTTGACAATTTTGATATTATACTTATTAGTGAGCCTACGACCTGCACGGTTAAGTCATCAAGTGCAATTCTCTAAGATTTTATATTATTGCTAATAAATTATTTTTAATATTGTGCCACAGTTATAGTACAACATTTACAGACAATATAAAACATATCTTACAATTTTATTATCAATTTTTTATCACCCAAAACATATTGAATAAATATTACTTATGAAACATTAAATATTAAGCGAAAATAACTTTTATTTTTGTATAGTACTCTATAATACTCAAATAATAAAATAAAATTTACAGTTTAAAAATAAATATAAAATATTTTAACGATCCAATTATTTGATATGTAAATATCAACAAACTATCATATAAATCAATATGCTAAATCCTTAAAATTGTTGTGATTGTGATTTAGTGTTAAATTGTATTATAATAGATATACTTTTTTTAGAAATACTTACTGTAATTATTTATAGGGTAGGAAATTCAAATTTTCAAAAATCTAAATACCTAATTCTAATACTGAACAGGTAATAAATTAATAGCAATGTAATAATGAGTTCAAAAATTATTTTATTAAACACTTAAAACCAAAGGTTATCCCCATATTTAAGTATAAATATCATTATATAATATATTTAGTATTAAAAAATCATATAAACTAATGACAGGCAAAAGTATATTGAGCAATATTGTATTTTTATTTGAGATTTAAAATATCCAGCAATTTCTCGCCAATCTTTTCGGAAGCGATTGCCAGTGAATATTCATCGACTTTCACGAAGTCAACGGCACCAGTAGTCGACTCCTACATTGAGATGCAAACAATTAAAATGTTGAAAATTAAAATTAACATAAATAAAATGGTTATTAATTGTTATGTATAGTTAATTAGCTATACATCACCTTATCATCAGGCAAAAAGTACAAGTCCCTGGTTTTATCCATGGACTCATCCTCGTCATCAACTTTGTTGAATTCAAACGGCTTAATGACTACTAATTTTCCTGAATATTTGGCCCATTTGGCAACCATTTTGGTCTTCAATTTAGTCAACTTCTTCTTCTTCTCCGATCGATGATTTGCCAACAGTTTAGCCCTTTTCATGGAATTCCTGAGTATTTCCTCCAAATCCGGTGCCACCAGTCCTTTGCCGGCGAAGTCACGGATCTCATTACAGGCGCGACGGATACGGGAGTCGATGTTGGGCTCGGACTTCATGTCGCGGAAGATCTTATCCCTAAAAGATTGCGGGATTTCGTTGGACACGAACATGAAGATGAACTCCAAGAGGAACTCGTCGGTCACGATGTCCTCCGAGAACTGAGTCTCGGACAGTATGTCTATAATGACAGCCCGTCCCACCTGAGCCGACTTAACCAGCTTTGTGGCCATCAGTCCGAAGTCAAAATAGCCGACGATGTCATACGTGCGACCCTTTGGGTTCAACTCTTGGAGCTGATCCGAGAAGTGCTTAACGATGTCTTTCATGGACTGACAGCCGTCCAGATCTCGGGTCCAATTGAGGCCAATGGCCGGCCGCTGGAACTGTTGCGCCAAATCCTCGAACGACTTGAACGAGCCCTCTATGGCCGGCAAGAAATACACGGGTCGACCAGTAGTGACATTATTGAGCAAGGTGTACTTCTCAGTGGGTATAATGAATTTGCAGTTGAGCAAGTTGGCCTTGGCCGTTTTCACTTCAGCCACGTATTTCTTGAAGTCCTCCACTCGGCCGGACTCGTAGTCTTTCAGCATTTTGACGGTTATATTCTTGACGTGATTTATAGACATCTTGATGTTCCACTCCCTCTCCAGTTCCTGCTGTAACTCCACCGCAAACATCGACTCCAACCCAATCTCCCCGAGGGTTAAGTGATCGGGAGTAGTGTCCGGGTCTATGCCCAGTGCACGCCATAACTCCTTAACCATGCGTTTCTGACGGCTACCCGATTGCATAATGCGTTCGGCTTTAACCTGGGTTAGTTACGATACAAATAATCTTTTATAAGTTTGAACTACAAATTAAAAACAACTTACAAAAGAGGTAACAATTGTTTTATTAACAGCCAGCAACTTATCCAGTACTTCCAACACAGAATTAATACGCTGTTTACGCAGGTTAGACAACTGAACAGCCTGGTCCTTTTCAGACAGTGCGCCCACATCACCGATCGGTCCGTATTGTATGGACAGTCCGTGCAGACCATCCCTACGCCTCTCTTCGCAAATGCGTTCACACATGGAGTTCCCAAACGCGTAGTTAGACTGACCGGCGTTTCCCTTACCACAGGCCAGTGATGAGAACACCACGAAATAGTCGAGTTTATAGGGTAGTGCCCTGGTCATCTGGTCCAAATTGGCAAATATTTTGCGCTTATTTTCCACAGTTTCCGTAAAATCCTCCACACTTTGGGTTTCAATAAGACTGTCGTGTAATAGTAGAGTCAAGTGGAACACCCCTCCAATCGGACCCAACTGTCCCGCCTCTGACACGAGTCCCTCAGCCCCTTCACGGGTAAGACAGTCGGCGGTCGACACCACTGTCTGTGCGCCGAATAACTTATACTTCCGGCCAAACTCTGCCAACCGTTTGATGACATAGTTTTGGTAATCACTTCTCACACCAAACCGCGAGTTTAAGACAAACTTTTTTGCGCCCATATATAGCATCCAATGGACTAACTCGAGACCACAGCCCCCTAAACCACCGGTGATTATATAGACTTTGTTTGGGTTAAAGTAGGTCTTTGTGGTGACCGAGAGTTTAAGACAAACTTTTTTGCGCCCATATATAGCATCCAATGGACTAACTCGAGACCACAGCCCCCTAAACCACCGGTGATTATATAGACTTTGTTTGGGTTAAAGTAGGTCTTTGTGGTGACCGTCAGCTCAGCAGTAGGTTTGATCAGTTTGACGGCATTCCGAACAGACTCTTCGTCTCTAACATTGAGTATGACTTTCCCGATGTGTTTACCGGTAGTCATATATCGGAAAGCCTTCTCGGCCTCATTGGCTGAAAATATTGTATAATTAATGGGTTTAACGCAACCATTAGTGGAGTTCTTATGCATCCAATCGAAGAATCTGATGGCGAAGTCTTGGGTCTCAAACAGACACATATCAACCGCAACGCCGATAAATGACACGTCCCTCAGGAAATCAAACATACCTGTGCGGTGAACAATTTATTAATAAAATTATTAATTAAAAAAAAGTTATTAAACAGTAAACATGATGAATGAATGAGACAATTCAAGTACTGTAATTGCCATTAAGATCGTAGGATTTCAAAATATTAAAAGTAGTAATTACAGTTTTCTAAATTAATATAAATTATTGTACCTTTGTCCAAGAAAATTAAATATCAACAAAAAATTATTGTATAAATAATCTCTTTTAGGTAATATAACAAAGGAATAGACAATTTATTGACAAGCATACCTATTTGTTTATTAAGAACCTGGTCAAATTTTCCCAATTCAACGAATCGGCCTCTATTTGCCAAACACTCGTAACCAGCGTCTAGTTTCTCACCGGTAAGTGAGTTGAGCACCAGATCCACGCCCTTCCCTCTCGTCAACCGTTTGATCCGTTGCTTAAACACAATATCTCTTGAGCTGAATATCTTGTGCTCCGGTATTCCGTACTCTTTCATCAAAAACTGTTTTTTCTCATCCGTTCCCACCGTTACATAGATATCGCAGTTATAGTGCTGACAGATAATTATAGCCGACTGTCCCACACCTCCCGCTCCCGAATGGATTAAAATACTTTCATCTGTTGTAATAAATATGTAATTAATTTTAAATTAAAAAACTAATTATAATAAAAGATATTTACTTTTCTTAAGGTTAGCTCTTTCTATGAGTCCATACCATACAGTGCTATATGTGCTCAGTATAGTAATAGCGTCATTCATAGACCAGTGCTCCGGGATGTTTGTCATAAAATTTTCGTTGGCATTGATAGATGAAGCAAAACATCGGGTTATATCGAAACCCATAACCCGTTCCCCGGTATCGACTCGACGGCCGGCGAATTCACAACCGATCAGACAATCAGTGAATAGTAATTGAGGACCACTTGGGATACGACCTGTCATTGGGATTAAAAGGATTAAAAATCCAGAGAGAGTGAGTGAGTGAGTGAGTGAGTGAGTGAGAGAGAGAGAGAGAGAGCAATAAATACCTGTGGCAACCATAACGTCGTGAAAGGTAAGGCCAGAGCTGTATATATTGACCGGAATTTGTATCAATTCATTGTTATTTATATCAAAAGTCTGTTTTGGAGACACAACTGTCCGTAAATCAAACCACTGAAGACTCGACAGATCCCGTGCCTGTCCTATGTTCAGGAAATATTCATTGCTCGTAGTCTTGTCGTAATCCTTGGGCAGTTTCAGATGCCTATAAGTGCCGACTTTGCCATTCTTTATAACATTTACAATCAAATCTTTGGCCAATATATCGGAATACGGGCTGACATTGAAGTCTACATTAGTTTCTCTATTAGTGTCGGTATTGAAAATACATCGGAAGTTCTCTCCGCCCGGTTCCAGTCGCACACAGTTAATGAGCCCCAGTATGCCATTAGAGTACTTATCATTGGCTACCAGCCATACATTATCTGATTGATTGTCTGACTCTTTAGCCAAAAGTAGTTTTTCTTTCAATAAATGAAACCAATCGCCAAACGAGTCGGACGTAACGGTAATTAGTTGTTGACTCCCGGCGTTAACATCCATTACTTTGCGGAACAGTGTGGCCATAGTTCCGATCCCATCGTACTTACGGCATACGAGACTAAAGCCCGCATTTTGAGCGCTGGTAGTGAACCCTTGGATGCGGCTCTGGAGATCCGAATCCGATAAATGCTTTTTACCGTTCAATGAGTTCAACGCCAGTTCCGGTTCCGTAAACTTATAGCGGAATACCGTTAATAGGAATCCGTTGCCTACAATAAAATCTGATAATTCCTGTGCAAAATCATCAACTTTCAAGTGCCATAAATCTTGACTATCTCTCACTATAATCAGGTTAACTGGAGTCACATCGTATGGGAAATTAGACTCCCGGGGCGACCATTCAATAGTCCTATCTTTAAACTGGTCGGTAACGCCCTCTTTTGAAGTGACGGCTAACTTGTACTCCACATCTATGGGGTACATCTGGAAGTTGGCTACATACTTCTCGACCTCCCTGGCCAGCACCTGACCCGCCAGATTAATCTCCAATATTTTCACTGTTTTTTGTGGCACAAGATTTTCGCTGCAAATATCGATCAGACTTCGGATGAGTCGGTCGTTGCGGGAGATTTGGTTCACCACATCGCGGCTTATGTCGAACTCATGTTTATCCTGGATATCGGTCCACACTTTATAGGCAACACCAGTAGTGTCGGCACCGGGAGTGTTATTATTGTTGTTAGCATCGGTAGTCATGGACTGTAGGATTTTGTCTAACGCCCGGAAAAGTATGTGATTCTCGTTGTTTGTCAAACGGTATTCTTGTATACAATCGTCGCTAATATTACGGTAATTGAAATCGCATTTTATTTTCTCGACTCCCATGCGCTTTATGATCGACGCCATAGATTTGCATAACTAACAAAAGTAAAATACAAAGTGAGCTACTTTGTAAATATTAGCTTTATAAAAGTGAATAGTCAATTACCTCTAAATAATCTGTGAGCGCGCGCTTATCGCACGGGTCGATCGCCTCCATGTCCTCATTAGCCAGGAACTCATAGGAGTCTAAACCCAAGTCTTGATTATCTATTTTCCTGGGAATGGGGAACGCCATCACATTCTCTACTTCCAGTCCGTGCGTTACGAGTAGTTTAGCGTTGGAGTCGTAATAGAAGGGAACGTTAGACTTGTAAATNACATAGATATCGCAGTTATAGTGCTGACAGATAATTATAGCCGACTGTCCCACACCTCCCGCTCCCGAATGGATTAAAATACTTTCATCTGTTGTAATAAATATGTAATTAATTTTAAATTAAAAAACTAATTATAATAAAAGATATTTACTTTTCTTAAGGTTAGCTCTTTCTATGAGTCCATACCATACAGTGCTATATGTGCTCAGTATAGTAATAGCGTCATTCATAGACCAGTGCTCCGGGATGTTTGTCATAAAATTTTCGTTGGCATTGATAGATGAAGCAAAACATCGGGTTATATCGAAACCCATAACCCGTTCCCCGGTATCGACTCGACGGCCGGCGAATTCACAACCGATCAGACAATCAGTGAATAGTAATTGAGGACCACTTGGGATACGACCTGTCATTGGGATTAAAAGGATTAAAAATCCAGAGAGAGTGAGTGAGTGAGTGAGTGAGTGAGTGAGAGAGAGAGAGAGAGAGCAATAAATACCTGTGGCAACCATAACGTCGTGAAAGGTAAGGCCAGAGCTGTATATATTGACCGGAATTTGTATCAATTCATTGTTATTTATATCAAAAGTCTGTTTTGGAGACACAACTGTCCGTAAATCAAACCACTGAAGACTCGACAGATCCCGTGCCTGTCCTATGTTCAGGAAATATTCATTGCTCGTAGTCTTGTCGTAATCCTTGGGCAGTTTCAGATGCCTATAAGTGCCGACTTTGCCATTCTTTATAACATTTACAATCAAATCTTTGGCCAATATATCGGAATACGGGCTGACATTGAAGTCTACATTAGTTTCTCTATTAGTGTCGGTATTGAAAATACATCGGAAGTTCTCTCCGCCCGGTTCCAGTCGCACACAGTTAATGAGCCCCAGTATGCCATTAGAGTACTTATCATTGGCTACCAGCCATACATTATCTGATTGATTGTCTGACTCTTTAGCCAAAAGTAGTTTTTCTTTCAATAAATGAAACCAATCGCCAAACGAGTCGGACGTAACGGTAATTAGTTGTTGACTCCCGGCGTTAACATCCATTACTTTGCGGAACAGTGTGGCCATAGTTCCGATCCCATCGTACTTACGGCATACGAGACTAAAGCCCGCATTTTGAGCGCTGGTAGTGAACCCTTGGATGCGGCTCTGGAGATCCGAATCCGATAAATGCTTTTTACCGTTCAATGAGTTCAACGCCAGTTCCGGTTCCGTAAACTTATAGCGGAATACCGTTAATAGGAATCCGTTGCCTACAATAAAATCTGATAATTCCTGTGCAAAATCATCAACTTTCAAGTGCCATAAATCTTGACTATCTCTCACTATAATCAGGTTAACTGGAGTCACATCGTATGGGAAATTAGACTCCCGGGGCGACCATTCAATAGTCCTATCTTTAAACTGGTCGGTAACGCCCTCTTTTGAAGTGACGGCTAACTTGTACTCCACATCTATGGGGTACATCTGGAAGTTGGCTACATACTTCTCGACCTCCCTGGCCAGCACCTGACCCGCCAGATTAATCTCCAATATTTTCACTGTTTTTTGTGGCACAAGATTTTCGCTGCAAATATCGATCAGACTTCGGATGAGTCGGTCGTTGCGGGAGATTTGGTTCACCACATCGCGGCTTATGTCGAACTCATGTTTATCCTGGATATCGGTCCACACTTTATAGGCAACACCAGTAGTGTCGGCACCGGGAGTGTTATTATTGTTGTTAGCATCGGTAGTCATGGACTGTAGGATTTTGTCTAACGCCCGGAAAAGTATGTGATTCTCGTTGTTTGTCAAACGGTATTCTTGTATACAATCGTCGCTAATATTACGGTAATTGAAATCGCATTTTATTTTCTCGACTCCCATGCGCTTTATGATCGACGCCATAGATTTGCATAACTAACAAAAGTAAAATACAAAGTGAGCTACTTTGTAAATATTAGCTTTATAAAAGTGAATAGTCAATTACCTCTAAATAATCTGTGAGCGCGCGCTTATCGCACGGGTCGATCGCCTCCATGTCCTCATTAGCCAGGAACTCATAGGAGTCTAAACCCAAGTCTTGATTATCTATTTTCCTGGGAATGGGGAACGCCATCACATTCTCTACTTCCAGTCCGTGCGTTACGAGTAGTTTAGCGTTGGAGTCGTAATAGAAGGGAACGTTAGACTTGTAAATGTGAAATCTCTCGTACAACTGATCCAGAATCTCATTGGTCTGCTCGATCTCCGACAGTATAGCGCCGGCCTGTTCGCCCTCATCCAGTTGGGTGTCCCTCCACTCCTGGACCTGTTCCTGGACGGCCTCCTTCTCCTTCATCTCCTCTTTGGTCCGATTCTTAGACACGGCTTCGAACAGAATCTTGGGGTCGACGCGAACGGACTTTATCATGACGGGCACCATTAGCTTACGGAATGGCGCCACAAACACCATGGACTGTAGGAGGGCATCCAGGAAGGTGACAAAAAAGCCGTTCCACTCGCACACCCCTGCGATCTCTTCGAAGTCAGGCGTGTGAATGGTCTTCAGACGACGAAACATAGGGCCGTAGTCGTAGCCCATGATTCGCAGCTCTTTGTAGATGTCATCCCGGGTTAGGCTATAATCGGTCTCTGATTGCGGAGCAGCAAGGCTGAGCACATACTCCCAGACCCGCATATCCGGCAGCAGCCCATCATCAGCGTGAAACGGTTGTGTCCAGTGCAATGGTGAAAGCATATAATGTTTCAGTGGAACTAACGTGTTATTAATAATAATAATGTTAATTAATTATTTTTATAGTAATCATACAAATAGAGGATTGAGATAATTGCAATTTGCAAATAACTATCATTACTCTTGATATACTAAATTAATTTTAATAGATTACATATTAAAATAAACGCTTGTTAATGACTCCAATTAATATAAATACTAGTACAGTATAAGGCTTATACTGACACTACCAAATTGGTAGTACCAATATCGCCAAGCGTATGTCAATTTGAATCCAGATCGTGACCTCAGAGCCTGACTTTGTGATTGACAGCAAATGTACATGAATGCTACTTAGTTTTAATGCATGTTTTAATCACACCTAATCTTATACAATATTAAATTAATTAGTATAATTCATGTCCTCAATTCATGAGGTATTTGGTTTTATTAACTAACTTTATATTACACTATTAGTTTTGATTAAAACATGCATTAAAACTAAGTATCATTCCTGTATATTTGCTGTCAATCATAAAGTCAAGCTCTGACGTCACGATTTTTACCCAAATTGACTTACGCTTGGCTACATTGCTGACTACCGTATAAGCGTATAAGTTAACAACAAGATTTTAAAAATATTTTTTACAGTCTATTGAATTTGGAGAAATGTGTAGAAAATTCAAGTATTCATTGTCATATATAAAACTAAAACTTTAGAGTTTAATTAACATTTTATTTAAACACACAAATACCAATTAAAAATATATAATTCAAAATGATTACCTGTATTCTCAAAATATCTGACTTTTAGACGGGAAGGGGAGGCCTCGGATAAAAACACGGGTCGCCTCAACTGTACATCTTCAAACTGGACAGGGGTCTGATTCCACGTGCGGCCCACGTAGCTGGAGAAGTGTCTCCAGGCTAACATAAGATACCCGGTGGCCGGGAATATTACATTGCCGTCGACAGCGTGGTCGGCATAATAGCCCTCTTCGTTATAACCGATATTAATCGACACATTCATATCGCTAGCTGTGGTCCGGGTAAAGTAATCCGGGTATTTCTTGTAGAAAAATGACTGACTGTGATCCCAACGCATTAAAGAACCAATAGACTGGGTATTCCGAGACACTGGCCACTCGACTGTAGGGTACAGGCGCTCGATAGCTGGGTTGAGGCCCAACTCATAAAGTTTGGCCACACCTGACAGGAACATATCGAGGTTCGTATCGTTTGAATCCTTTTTAATGAGGGACAGGTAGGCACAAGAGTCCAGTGTTTCGGTGACTACTTTCCCAAATACCGAATGCGGACCCAATTCGATGACAATGGCATCGGAGGGAAGTTCTTTGAATTTGTCGTAAAACTGGACCGGATTTAAGAGATTGTGTGCGAAATACTCGGCCGACGCATAACGCAGGGCATCGTTAGTGGGTTCCGACTCGAGTACTGAAGTGGACATCCATTTCGGGGACCGGAGTTTGGGTTTAGGTATATATTTCTTGATCTTCTCGATCATAGGTTTGGCTGACGTTTGCAAGTATTCCGAGTGATAGGGAATACCACTGCTTTCCAGTTGCCGACAAAATACACCTTTACCTTTGATTGTTGTTATCATGAGCTCCATTTCCTTTTGAGGACCTATCCATTGAATACATGTATTAATATAATAAATCATTAAATATACGTTGTATTTTAATTAATAGTGAATTACCGGAAACAACTACACTATCCTTTGCATTATTACAGACGACGTAAACCCCTTTCGGACATAACTTCCGGGTCTCAGACCGGGAGAGACCGACGACTGCCATCAAACCCTTCGGTATTTTCTTATCGTTTTCAGTGAAAAACCCTCTGAAATACGTGACAACCATAGCATCCCTTGTGGACAGACATCCGTCAGCGTAAGCGCAGGCGATCTCACCAAAGAGTTTAAGACAAACTTTTTTGCGCCCATATATAGCATCCAATGGACTAACTCGAGACCACAGCCCCCTAAACCACCGGTGATTATATAGACTTTGTTTGGGTTAAAGTAGGTCTTTGTGGTGACCGACAGCTCAGCGGTTGGTTTGACCAGTTTTACAGCATTTCGATCAGACTCTTCGTCTCTAACATTGAGTATGACTTTCCCGATGTGTTTACCGGTAGTCATGTATCGGAAAGCCTTCTCGGCCTCATTGGCTGAAAATATAGTATAATTAATGGGTTTAACGCAACCATTAGTGGAGTTCTTATGCATCCAATCGAAGAATCTGATGGCGAAGTCTTGGGTCTCAAACAGACACATATCAACCGCAACGCCGATGAACGACACGTCCCTCAAGAAGTCAAACATACCTGTCCAGTGAACAAATTGTTTTAATTAAATTATTAATTTAAAAAGTTATCAAGCAGTAAACCTTATAAATGATATGGCCCAATTCAAATAATAGCCATTATAATCATAGGATTTCAAAATATTAAAAATAGTAATTACAGTTTTCTAAATTAATATTTGTTAAGTTAATTAATTAATATAGTCTGAGAAAATTAAATATCATCACGAAGTTATTGTATAAATAATCTCTGTTTGATAATACGGTATAATAAAAAGAACAAACAATTTACTGATAAGCATACCTATTTGTTTATTAAGAACCTGGTCAAATTTTCCCAATTCAACGAATCGGCCCATATTTGCCAAACACTCATAACCAGCGTCTAGTTTCTCACCGGTCAGTGAGTTGAGCACCAGATTCACGCCCTTCCCTCTCGTCAACCGTTTGATCCGTTGCTTAAACACAATATCTCTTGAGCTGAATATCTTGTGCTCCGGTATTCCGTACTCTTTCATCAAAAACTGCTTTTTCTCATCCGTTCCCACCGTTACATAGATATCGCAGTTATAGTGCTGACAGATTATTATAGCCGACTGTCCCACACCTCCCGCTCCCGAATGGATTAAAATACTTTCATCTGTTGTAATAAATATGTAATTAATTTTCAATTCAACAAAATAATTATAATAAAAATATTTACTTTTCTTAAGGTTAGCCCTTTCTATGAGTCCATACCATACAGTGCTATATGTGCTCAGTATAGTAATAGCGTCATTCATAGACCAGTGCTCCGGGATTTTAGTGATCATCTTTTCGTTGGCATTGATAGATGAGGCGAAACATCGGGTTATATCGAAACCCATAACCCGTTCCCCGGTATCGACTCGACGGCCGGCAAACTCACAACCGATCAGACAATCAGTGAATAGTAATTGAGGACCACTTGGGATACGACCTGTCATTGGGATTAAAAGGATTAAAAATCCAGAGAGAGAGAGAGAGAGAGGAGATGAAGGAGAAGGAGGCCGTCCAGGAACAGGTCCAGGAGTGGAGGGACACCCAACTGGATGAGGGCGAACAGGCCGGCGCTATACTGTCGGAGATCGAGCAGAGAGAGAGAGAGAGAGAGAGCATTGAATACCTGTAGCAACCATAACGTCGTGAAAGGTAAGGCCAGAGCTGTATATATTGACCGGAATTTGTGTCAATTCATTGTTATTTATATCAAAAGTCTGTTTTGGAGACACAACTGTCCGTAAATCAAACCACTGAAGACTCGACAGATCCCGTGCCTGTCCTATATTCAGGAAATACTCATTACTCGTAGTCTTGTCGTAATCCTTGGGCAGTTTCAGGTGCCTATAAGTGCCGACTTTGCCATCCTTTATGACATTTACAATCAAATCTTTGGCCAATATATCGGAATACGGGCTGACATTGAAGTCTATATTAGTCTCACTATTAGTGTCTGTATTGAAAATGCATCGGAAGTTCTCTCCTCCCGGTTCCACTCGCACACAGTTAATGAGCCCCAGTATGCCATTAGAGTACTTATCATTGGCCACCAGCCATACGTTATCTGATTGATTGTCTGACTCTTTAGCCAAAAGTAGTTTCTCTTTCAATAGATGAAACCAATCGCCAAACGAGTCGGACGTAACGGTAATTAGTTGTTGACTCCCGGCGTTAACATCCATTACTTTGCGGAACAGTATGGCCATAGTTCCGATCCCATCGTACTTACGGCATACGAGACTAAAGCCCGCATTTTGAGCGCCGGTAGTGAACCCTTGAATGCGACTCTGGAGTTCCGAATCCGATAAATGCTTTTTACCGTTCAATGAGTTCAATGCGATCTCCGGTTCCGTAAACTTATAGCGGAATACCGTTAATAGGAATCCGTTTCCTACAATAAAATCTGATAATTCCTGTGCAAACTCATCCACTTTCAAATGCCATAAATCTTGACTATCTCTCACTATAATCAGGTTAACTGGAGTCACATCGAATGGGAAATTAGACTTCCGGGGCGACCATTCAATAGCCCTATCTTTAAACTGGTCGGTAACGCCCTCTTTTGAAGTGACGGCTAACTTGTACTCCACATCTATGGGGTACATCTGGAAGTTGGCCACATGCTTCTCGACCTCCCTGGCCAGCACCTGACCCGCCAGATTAATCTCCAATATTTTCACTGTTTTTTGTGGCACAAGATTTTCGCTGCAAATATCGATAAGACTGCGGATGAGTCGGTCGTTGCGGGAGATTTGGTTCACCACATCGCGGCTTATGTCGAACTCCCGTTTATCCTGGATATCGGCCCACACTTTATAGGCAACACTAGCCGTGTCGACACCAGGAGTGTTATTATTGTTGTTGGCATCGGTAGTCATGGACTGTAGGATTTTGTCTAACGCCCGGAAAATTATGTGATTCTCGTTGTTTGCCAAACGGTATTCCTGTATACAGTCGTCGCTAATATTACGGTAATTGAAATCGCATTTTATTTTCTCGACTCCCATGCGCTTTATGATCGACGCCATAGATTTGCATAACTAATAAAAGTAAAATACTAAGTGAGCTACTTTGTAAATATTAGCTTTATAAAAGTGAATAGTCAATTACCTCTAAATAATCGGTGAGCGCGCGCTTATCGCACGGGTCGATCGCCTCCATGTCCTCATTAGCCAGAAACTCATAGGAGTCTAAACCCAAGTCTTGATTATCTATTTTCCTGGGAATGGGGAACGCCATCACATTCTCTACTTCCAGTCCATGCGTTACCAGTAGTTTAGCGTTGGAGTCGTAATAGAAGGGAACGTTAGACTTGTAAATGTGAAACCTCTCGTACAACTGATCCAGAATCTCATTGGTCTGCTCGATCTCCGACAGTATAGCGCCGGCCTGTTCGCCCTCATCCAGTTGGGTGTCCCTCCACTCCTGGACCTGTTCCTGGACGGCCTCCTTCTCCTTCATCTCCTCTTTGGTCCGATTCTTAGACACGGCTTCGAACAGAATCTTGGGGTCGACGCGAACGGACTTTATCATGACGGGCACCATTAGCTTACGGAATGGCGCCACAAACACCATGGACTGAAGGAGGGCGTCCAGGAAGGTGACAAAAAAGCCGTTCCACTCGCACACCCCTGCGATCTCTTCGAAGTCAGGCGTGTGAATGGTCTTCAGACGACGAAACATNCAATTGGACCCGAGATCTGGACGGCTGTCAGTCCATGAAAGACATCGTTAAGCACTTCTCGGATCAGCTCCAAGAGTTGAACCCAAAGGGTCGCACGTATGACATCGTCGGCTATTTTGACTTCGGATTGATGGCCACAAAGTTGGTTAAGTCGGCTCAGGTGGGACGGGCTGTCATTATAGACATACTGTCCGAGACTCAGTTCTCGGAGGATATCGTGACCGACGAGTTCCTTCTGGAGTTCATCTTCATGTTCGTGTCCAACGAAATCCCGCAATCTTTTAGGGATAAGATCTTCCGCGACATGAAGTGCGAGCCGAACATCGACTCCCGTATCCGTCGCGCCTGTAATGAGATCCGCGACTTCGCCGGCAAAGGACTCGTGGCACCAGATTTGGAGGAAATACTCAGGAATTCCCTGAAAAGGGCTAAACTGTTAGCAACTCATCGGTCGGAGAAGAAGAAGAAGTTGACTAAATTGAAGACCAAAATGGCTGCCAAATGGGCCAAACTTGCGGGAAAATTAGTGGTCATTAAGCCGTTTGAATTCAACAAAGTTGAGGACGAGGATGAGTCCATGGATAAGACCAGGGACTTGTACTTTTTGCCTCATGATAAGGTAATGTATAGTTAATTAACTATACTTAACAATTAATAAACACTATAATATTTTAGTAAAAAGTATCGGTAATACTAATATACTATGAAAATAGTGTAAATTGTTGTTTATGTTAATTATAATTTTCAACATTTTAATTGTTTGCATCTCAATGTAGGGGTCGACTACTGGTGCCGTTGACTTCGTGAAAGTCGATGAATATTCACTGGCAATCGCTTCCGAAAAGATTGGCGAGAAATTGCTGGATATTTTAAATCTCAAATAAGAATACAATTTTGCTCAATATACTTAAGCCTTTCATTATTTTATATGATTTTTTAAATAATAAATATATTATATGATGATATTTATACTTAAATATGGGGATAACTTTTGGTTTTAAGTGTTTAATAAAATAATTTTTGTACTCATCATTGCATTGCTATTAATTTATTTATTAAGTATTAAGTATTTGAAAATTTGAAGTTCTTACTGTATAAATAACTAATAGTGTATATCCATTATTACACGAATTAATACTAAATTACAATCACAACAATTTTAAGGTTTTAGCATATTGATCAATACAAATCAAATAATTGATTCGTAAAATATTTTATATTTATTTTTAAAACTGTAAATTTTATTTTATTATTTGAGTATTATAGAGTACTATACAAAAACAAAAATTAATTTCGCTTAATTTTTAATGTTTCATAAGTAATATTTATTCAATATGTTTTGTGTGATAAAAAATTAATTATAAAATTGTAAGATATGTTTTATGTTGTCTGTAAATGTTGTACTATAAATGTGGCACAATATTAAGAATAATTTATTAGCAATAATATAAAATCTTAGAGAATTGCACTTGATGACTTAACCGTGCAGGTCGTAGGCTCACTAATAAGTATAATATCAAAATTGTCAAAGAAAAAGTATTATCAAATATATAT